AGAGCGGAGGAGGACGGCGTGGATTTGCCGGAGATGGAGTTTTCCGGTGCATGCTCCGATCAGAGATAGCAGATGGTTTTGAGGGTCAGAGCAAGGAGGAGGAAGATGGTTGATTGCCGTGTAGGAGTTCGACATCAGCAGAGGAGGAGAAACAGCTCTACACAAAAGTGAAGCCTAGTTACCATAGAATTATCGCTTGAACCCGTTAAAGATTGTGAATCCATCATCATGCAGAAGAAGAAGAAGAAGTATCGAACAACAAACCGCTGATATGAGCAAAAGCTAAATAAACTGCAAATGGATCCAACTAGAGAAACGGGAAAATCACTCAAATAACCACTTAGTTCGCATCGATTTCACTTGTACACCACCAAAAACATAACACATTTTTTTCTCCGTAAAAAGACGAAATTACCCTTAATGAATCACGATATTTATCCGTTTGAAAACAACTTCGTTATTACGACTTCGTAATTAATTCTAAATATAGTTACAAAAAAGTGGCAAAAAAAATTATCCGTCTTATTTTAGTTGTATATCAGTGATATGTTAGTCGCAAAAAAGTGGCAAAAAATAAAACGAAAAGGGTATTTTGAACTTTTTCAATCGAAAAGTGGGTTAAAATTGAATTTTTTTTTTTTCTGAGTGGTGTACCCTGAAATTGTTGCGATCCAAGTGGGTTATTAGGGTTAAAACCCCTAGAGAAACACCCATATAATTTAATTTCAGGGATACACCCAAAAAAACATTAACACATTATTTTTTTTTTGAAAAGACTATAATAACCTTAATGAAATCGTGTAATTGTAATTGCAACGTCGCAATTGATTCTAAATACGGTTGTAATTGATTCTAAATACAGTTCCAATTGATTCTAAATGAAGTGACAAAAAATACATCTTATTAGTTATAAGATTTTTAGTTGTTATATGATCATAAATACTTCTTTTTTTAATCGTATATTAGTTATATAACAGTTGTAATAAAGTCGTAAAAAATTATAAAAAAGGTTATTTCGGACTTTTTGAGTGAAAAAATGGTATAAAATTGAAATAAAAAATTTATTGATCATTTTGGGTGTATCGGTGAAATTCATGCGACATATTTGGTATATTAGTGTGAATTACCCTGATCTTTGGCTGTGCAACTTAGTCGGATTTCGGTTCGGTTTCAGTTCGATTATATTCAGATTCGGTTATTTCGTTTTTAGAAAAATTATAACCATTCGGTTTTTATATTGAATTCGATTTGATTCGATTCGGTTATATTCGTTTCGCCTATGATAAAAATACTTATTTTTTTTTAAAAAAAAATATGTTTTTATGGTTTATTTTTTTATTCGGTTTGGTTTAAATTTAGTTTTAAAGAAAACATAACCATTCGATTTATATCTAATTCGATTCGGTTACATTATGCGCTACTCAATTCAGATCGGTTTAGTTATTCGGTTATTAACCAAATAAGATACCTCTGGTGCGAACCAACGGAAAAATGTAAATTTGGATTTTATCAAAATTCGTATGATCTTTAATTAAGTCGTTAGAATAATCTCCAGCCAAAATGAATGTAAAGCAATTTATTTTTCTTTTAGTTTGATTTGTTTTCGATTTTATTTCGTTTAATATTAAAAAGACTAATTTTGGATAAGAAAAAAAACTAACCATTTGAATTTTGTTTTTGAATCATCCCAACTTATATGTTCAAGTTACTCAATTTAGATAGTTTAATTGATAAAATAAAAATTTAAAATATATATCTTATCTCGAATTCAAATCTCAAATTGGATAGAGAAGCGTAATTTCAATCATATAATTTATTTACGGTCAGAGAATTAGCGTGGATCTAGTCCATGATATATGATATTCATAATTAGATATGAATATCATCTTACCAAAGTGATGCCTCTTAGGATCTTACCAAAAAAAAAGAATACAAATATATACATATTTTCTTCCATATATATAGATACAGTATATATTTTTTCACCAAATATATAAACTATATCATATACTATTTCTTAAAACTCAGTCGAAAAAATTAGTAAAGAGAATCTAGATTATAAAATAAATTATTCAAGACTACACTTTGACTTCTACTTAACTTATACTCGAGAAAACAATTACATTGTGATATGTTACTCGAGAAAACAATTACATTGTGGTATGTGACTGACTATACATTGTTAGGATCAGACGTGGATAAATCACTGTTAGACAACTAAATTAAGATGAGAAAAATAAATAATGGGACACCGAAAATTTACGTAGTTCGGCAGAGTGCCTACGTCCACGGGCGAACGGTAGAAGGATTTTACTGACTGTCAAGGAATTACAACACTTCTCTCTGTTATAAGGAGAACAATAATAATTCTCTCTTATACAGGAGAAAATAATCACTCAGAAATAAAGAGGAAAATACCCAAAAAATAAGAGAGACCCAGATTTTTTTTCACTCTCTTTTCTTCCCTTTTTCTCTCCCTTTACTCTGTTGTTTTTGTTCTGATGAGGGATGATCACCGAGGCTCGTACGCTTGCCTTATATAGGCAAAGGGATGAAGAACAATCCAAAAATTAGTGGGACCCACTGCTGGTAAAATTTTTCAGCAACTCCTGCGCCTCCACCGATCGTCGTCCAAGCCTCCATTGTTTACCACTTTTACAAAAAGTGGATTTTGCCTTTTCATTCTCCCACTCAAAACCACTTTTTGTTGTATTTCTCCTTCCTTTCTATTTCGCCATTTCCATGTTGCTTATGTTTCTACTAAACCCATAGAAGATCGACACCAGATAAACTTATCATTATTTACTGGTTTTGTCAACATATCTGCCATATTTGCCTCCGTATGGATTTTCTGAATATCCACACTTCCTTCCTCCACCTTCTCCCGTACAAAATGATATTGTACCCGTATATGCTTCGTCCTTGGATGAAATGCTGGATTCTTTGCTAGATGCAAAGCGCTCTGACTATCACAGAACAAGACGATATTATCTTGTCTGTGTCCGAGCTCCTCCGTTAACATTTGCAACCAGATTGCCCCTTTGCTAGCTTGTGTAGCTGCCACATACTTAGCCTCCGTCGTAGATGTCGCCATGATAGACTGTAGTTTTGAAACCCAACTTACAGCTCCTCCAGCAAGAGTAAACACGTATCCAGAGGTGGACTTGTTTTTGTCGAGGTCACCTCCATAATCTGAATCAACGTATCCAGTAACAATCATGTCTGACCCTCCATAACATAATGCAACATTTGTGGTGCCCTTGAGGTATCTCAAGATCCTCTTCACAGCACTCCAATGCTCAACTCCAGGATTCGCCATGTATCGATTGACCACTCCCACTGCTTGAGCAATGTCTGATCTAGTACAGACCATGGCAAACATCAAACTTCCCACTGCTGATGCATACGGTACTCGAGACATCTCCATCCTCTCTGCTTCACTGCTAGGACTCATATTGGAGGATAACTTGAAATTCATAGGAAGAGGGGTAGATATTGGCTTACAGTCTTGCATGTTGAAGCGACGCAAGATCTTCTTTATATAATTCCTTTGCGAAAGCCAAATCTTCCTACGATTTCTGTCTCGGTAAATTTGCATCCCCAGAATCTTGTTTGCTTGGCCCAAGTCCTTCGTTTGAAACTCCCTAGCCAACTGAGTCTTCAATTCTTTCAGACGATCTTTGTTGGGGTTTGCTACCAACATGTCGTCGACGTACAATAGTAGAATTACGAAATCACCATCACCAAATCTCTTGTGGTACGCACAAGGATCTGCATTCAGTCTGCTATACCCAAGGCTCATGATGAAGGAATCAAATCTCTTATACCAGCATCTTGGCGCCTGTTTGAGACCGTATAGAGATTTGTTCAGCCTGCAAACCAAGTTCTCATTTCCTTTTTCTTTAAATCCTTCTGGTTGTAGTATATATATCTCTTCTTCAAGTTCTCCATGAAGAAATGCAGTTTTCACATCCAACTGCTCTAGGTGAATGTCCAATGTAGCACACATCGCCAGGACTATTCGCACTGTTGTCAGTCGAACAACAGGAGAGAATATCTCGTTAAAGTCAACTCCTTCTTTCTGAGAAAATCCCTTCACCACCAATCTAGCACGATACCGCTCCACTTTATCGTTGCCATTTCGTTTGATCTTGTAGACCCATTTGTTCCCAATGGCTTTCCTCCCTTGTGGTAACGAAACAAGATCCCAAGTCTTATTCTTATGAAGGGCTTCCATTTCTTCTTGCATTGTTGTCATCCACAGGGATGAATCTTGGCTTTGTATAGCCTCATCAAAAGTCGATGGTTCTCCATCCTCCGTTAGTAGACAGTATGCAACATTTCTCTCCATAACATAATCCTCCTGCCAAACTGGTCTTCTTCTTTCGCGATCTGATTGTCGAAGTTGTGGTGATGGAGACTCAGTTTGTACTTGTTCATCGTGCTCCGGTACATCTTCAGAAGAATTTGGAACTTGATGTTCCCCTCGATCTTCAACGTTAACTGTCACCGTCTCTAGTCTTTCCTTTGATATGCTATCATTTTCCACATTTCCTTCTACAAATACGACGTCTCTGCTGATTATGACCTTATGGGCAGTGGGATCCCACAAGCGATACCCCTTGACTCCATCAGCATACCCTAAGAAAACACACTTTCTAGATTTTGGATCTAGTTTAGTTGTTTCTTGGGCGTTGTACATCGCATACATCGTACTTCCAAACATATGGAGTTGAGAATAATCCGTTGGCTTTCCTGTCCACATCTCCATTGGTGTCTTCAGATCAATTGCGGTTGATGGAGACCGAATGATCACACAACAGGCGGTCATGACTGCTTCAGCCCAAAATGTATTGGCCAATCCTACAGATCTCAACATTGCCCTTGTTCTTTCCAACAAGGTTCTGTTCATCCGCTCTGCTACACCATTTTGTTGAGGTGTATAAGCCACTGTGAACTGCCTCTTGATGCCTTCTTGTTGACAGAACCGGTTGAATTCATCGCCAGTATATTCTTTCCAGATTCAAGCTCAACACGCGCTTTGAAGATTTTGAAAGCTTCAAACACATCTGACTTCTTCTTGATGGGGTACACCCAACATCTCCTGGAGTAATCGTCAATGAAAGATACAAAGTATCTTGCACCTCCTAAGGACGTCACTGGTGTTTGTCAAACATCAGAATGAACCAGGTCCAGGATAGCCTTGCTTCTAGCAGTTTTGAACTGCTGAACTTCAATTTGTGCTGCTTACTAGTAACATAATGCTCAC